CAGGCTGGGCCCTGCACCCACATCTGGCCTCTGCCTGGAAAGTCGTGGCAGGGCACGGGAGCCCTCGGCCCACACCTGCTCCGGCTGTTGTTTGGTATTTGCTGTCCCCCGGGACGGGAGAGTGGCAGGAGCCCAGCCACTGTGCCAGCAGGAGGCATTTGCCCAGGGTGCTCTCTTATCTTTCTTCTGCAGCTCATTCCCACTGCCTCAGCTCGTCCAGGGCAGGTGGCAGGCTGGGCCCTGCACCCACATCTGGCCTCTGCGCATGCAGCCCCCGGGGCCCAAGTGGGCACTCCTTGGCCTTCCCGCACCACCGGCCGCCCTGGGGTGCTCGCTCTGTCAAATCAATGCTGAACCTGCAGCAGCTCCCAAGAGTGTGGGAGTACCTTTGGGGAGAGGGTCTCCCTGGACACCCCCAGGCTGGCCGCAGCTTCCGGGGTACAGGGCAGGGGGGCTCAGACGGGCTTCTTCCCCATGCAGTGCCTGTGCTGCCGCCTCCTGCTTCCTTCCCTGCCAGTCCCATCCTCTGGGCACCCGGGGCCAAAGCGCTGACTCACCGTGAACTTGATCCCAGCAGCTGCCCAGCACCGTGGACGTCCACCCACAGAGCACCCACACCGGACACAAAGGCTTGGGAACCAAAGCCGCCAAAGGCATCCCAGCCTCGGCCTGCCCTGGGGCCCCACCCAGCAGGGTTCTACCTTTTGTGAGCTGGATGGAAAGCTGAAGACTTGGTTGGCTTAGTCTAACATGAAAATCAAAAACTCCAAGAAGCACAGTCCCTGAAGCTACTATCAACTCATTCTGAACTCACTGAATAAACGTAGGCGAAGGCACAACTGACGTAGACATGGAGCAGGGAACTCGCCTTCTGGGAGAGCAGACGGCCAGCTCACCCCACCCTGCCGAGCCTAAATGATGCATCTGCATGTGTATGTTACGGGGCAACCCCATGTGAATTGGGGTGCCTCACCAGGGGTTCTCACCCCTCTGCTTAGATTCAGCCGCAGGCGCACACCCAAAGGTTGGCCATGGGTCTATTTCCAAGAGAAAGGGAAATGGGTGACTCAGGGAAAGAGAGGGAGCCATAGCTGGCTAATGCGTCCACCAGTTCCCCGACCTGGAACCCCCACAGCAGGCTGAGAGCTGGCGAACAGCCGGGAGACAGGCCACGAGCCCCCCGAAGCCCTATGTCCAGTTTTATATCCAAATATAAAGGGTGCTTAACTCCACCCTTGGGTCCCAGCAACCTCCTTTCCGCGAGGCTGGATTTGTGGTTCCTGTGTCTGGGGAGGGGGCAGAGTCAGCAAAACCTGTCTCTGTGGAGCTCGTTAGGACCGCCTCTGCCCCTTACCCAGGAATACTGGGCGGCCCACAGGGACACCTGCCGGCAAGCAGGTCGGGTTTATTACCTGTTGTGACGAGGCGAACCACAGACCCCTGACAGGTTAGAAGGAGCTGCAGCAGGATGTGGGCTTTGGTTGGGTGATTTTGCAGGTGACCTAAAGAAGTGAGGGTTACTTGAGATTGGGTGCTGTCAGAGAGCAGGGACAAGTCTGTGATGGGGTAACTCGAGAAATCTTACCTGAAAGGAGGGGAGACCAGAGAGACACTGAACTGTAAACTGTAATTAGTAAGTAAAAGACCAGCTCCTATTAATGGGGGGTGGGGGTGGGTGGTTTTTTTTTTTTTTGCTTGGACAATGCTCATGCTTTGTGTTCAGACATGATTATGGTCTGATGATTGTCTGGACTCACCATGGTGAGAGTGAGTTGTCTGACATTGATGTCTATAAAATTGTTTGTGTTCTACAGGCGAACAGGTGGAAGTATCACAGAGACACGGCGTGAGGCTTGGGATTGCCTGCATGGGAACTGTAGCGACTTTACAGGAGATGGTCAGGACGGCAGGGGGCCAGGTGACGTGGGCAGAGATTTGAAGCAAGAGCGTGAGTCATGTGGAGCAGGCTGGGCTGGTAGGGGCCTACAAAGGCCAAGGTCCAGCAGTGGAAGCGGATTAGCCTGTTTGGGGCCTAGCAGAGGGGTCAGGAGCACAGCGTGAAGGCCAGGGAGGTGGAAGGTGAATTGTCAGGGGTCATCTAGGACAGCTAAGGCCCGAGGTGGCTTCCACTCTGAGACAGAGGTAACCTGCTTCAATGAAAGTAGCACAGGTGGGAGACCCACATTTTTTGCTCTCCTCTTATTCCTTTGTGTGTCTGAAAGGTGGATGTTACAGCTGGAGCACCAGCAGCCACCTCGCGCCATGAAGCAATCTTGCAAATGGATGATGGCATGAAGGAAATAAAGAAGCCCAGGCTCTGGGTAACTGTGGACTTGGCCATTAGTGACAGGCGACCTGACATGTCTTTCGCTTGAGCAAGAGCAAGCGTCTCTCATTTTAAAAGTCACTGTTGCTGGGTTTTCTGTCACAACTAGCAAAAGCTCACTCTAACTGACAGGGGATTGATTCATAGCATTTCAAAACAGGTTGTGTAGAAAACCTGTGTGTAGAACCACAGACTCAAAGATGTCACAAGC